TCATTAAGTAATGTCATTCTGTGGCGCCAAATTCTTTGTCTTGAGTAAATGTTTTGAACATCAAACCAGAAGTTTACACACCAGTTTTTGTTTGCCATGGATCTGATTAGTAAAAGCGTAGCAGTCAGTCCATGATATGGTGCTATGAGACTGTAGATAGTTTTCTTCTATTTATCTATACCTCCATGCCACGACTGTAGGTGGTTCCCGAAAGGACATTCGATTTGGTCACTCAAGACGTTATTATGCATTTTTTGGAATCGAAATCAGTAGCAGTTATGCTGTAGTTTTCTTGTTTCGTCATGGGAAGTGATGGAAAGTGACTAATACTCTCTTGGATGTACCAAGTAAGAATGCTCAATATATTGGTCTTTCTGTTAATTTCTAACTATTACCCCTTTTTTATTTTGTTACTTTTTGTGTGTTTTTCTCGACTGCCATTCTTTACCATGTTCGTGTTGAAATACAGGTATTCCTTTATCTCGGTGCATAAAAATACAGTAAAAGTAAAGATATGCAGGTTTAGGGGAAGGGTGAAAGTTAGTTTCTTGTTTCACTTTTGAGAGTTAACAATACTAGGTTGCCAGATCTTAGCAGTTAGAAGAGGATTGGAATCCGTCTCTTGGATTTCTGATTGAACGACTAGAGCTTCGTGTCATTCACTCTATTTCAATTGCTTCTCCTAAATGGGTCACTAACTCAACTTTTATGGTTATGCCCTCACCAAATGCTTTCACACGTCTTCTTAATAAAGTAAAGAGATTGCCTATTATTATCTCTCGTTTCCTCTTTCATCTCTTTGTTTTCTACTGCCCATTGCAATACACGTTCACCATACAAATGGTTTACACTTCGTTTGTGTCCTCTTCTCATATTGCTCTGAATCCACTGAAGTGTGGCTTCGTATATTCATGTTTGTAATTAAGTTCCTTAAACCCACCAATATTTTGCAACCTTGTTTCTAAAATAAGTTACAGTTCCTACAGTCAGGTTCCCTCCAAATATAATGCATCAATAGATGTTTACCTTAGTTGTATTTAGCCTGAATTTAATTTTGCGCTAGCTTCCTGTTTGTAGTTTTTACGCATTCCCTAAGTAATAAACACACGTCTCCTTGAATTACTGTGTAGTCAGTGTTCGATCACATTGTAAAAAATAGTATAAATCTTTCACTGCTCCTGTCGGTCGATATACGACTGACGTAGTTAATATCCACCAATGGTCTGGCTATTCATGTGTTTGCATGTCCATGAGCATGTGGTTGTAGACAATGTCACTTCAAATTGACAATTCTGGGAACAACAGCAGTGAAAATTTAAGATAAAAACGGATGAAAGTGAAGGAGGAGCAAAGAAAAGACTGGATACTGATCAGATGCTTGGAACCCTAAAAGTGACCAAGTAAGCCTATCGTTAGTTTATTCTTGGAGCATGTAATGAATTTTCTAACCATTGAATAAAGAGGAATGTGAATTTACCCAACTGTAGGTGACTTATAAAAAGAAGTTGGAAACTATGGATTGGTAGTCTTTGCTGCACTACTGTTTTTTCCAAAGTTGATCTACTTCGGCTAATGCTATACGTGGTGGTATGTGTAGTTCATGTTAGCTGTTACACTTATCCAGTCTAGTAGACGAAAACAATATACTCAACAAACAGCTGCGACTCGATACAGTTGACAATGAGCCAAACCTATTGTGTGATGGCTAGTCATACTACCTGACTGCCCAAACCATGGTAGGTGGAGATGGATTCGAACCCATGACCCAGCGGTCAGAAGTCGAACGCCTAGACCAATGAACCACAGTTCCAATCAATCTAGTTAGTATTATTTTATTCCTTTACGTTCCCAGTGAAACAGGGCTTCAAGCTCGAGTTCTGTAGTTCCGGTAGCAGTGGTTTTATTTTTACAGGATGGGGTTGCTAGCCTCACTCCCAACCTCCCCTCTTCACCGGTCTTATTACCGGCTTAACGAGGTTTAGGAGTGCATCAGCCGACGATCAAACTCCGGACCACATGCGTGGTTGGTATTATTCAGTAAGTATTCATACAGGACTTCGCAGTGCTGCGCATTGGTGCAGTCCCTACACCTAACATCAGTACATCAGGTACGAGGTAATAAGGAGTAAGGCGAATAATTGGAAATAATATGAATGTCGTATAATAGTTGAGACTGAGAAAAGTAAAGAAGGTAAGGCAAATGAAGAGATAGAGTAGGCAACTAGGATAAAGGTACGACGTCAGTTCATTTGCTTCACTGCAACTAATTTTGAGCCATATGTTATCCAAGTTTTCCAAATGTATGCTGTGGTCAAACAGCATTTATCCTGCTGTGTGAACAATCACCGACTTGATAAATTGTTTCTGTATTTTGGTTCGGACTCCTGTCTCATCTTATAAAAAAGTACTTCAAGTTAGACAGTAGGTTGACATGCGTGCCTGTGCTTAGGAATGTGCACTTGGGTTTTTGTTTGGTAACAACATTGTATACTGTAACTCCTTTCTGTAGTTACTGTTTGTTTGAGTTCTTGAATATACTTTTTTTCCAAAGTCTCCTTACTACCGTATGTAATCATTATTCTTATCATCCTTTTAGAATTATCACTCACTTTCTTAATCTGCAAGTATTGACCTAAAATTTCTCCACTGTTCCCTAATGGACTGTAGACTCCTAATTTAGTGTGTAAACATTTTTTACCTGATAATTATTAGCCATTGCGTACAACTTTAATGACTCGGTTGTTGACGAAATTTCAGTACTAATAAAAACATCCTCTCGTCATTTACCAACTTACACCATCTCTGCCGTATACATATTATAGAGCTATCCTTCAGAGGATATTTATATTGTGCAGCAGTTGGCTTTATCCTAATTTACAACTGAGGTATGGTTGTTGAGATAAAAGGATATGGAAAGTCTAGTGGTCTTTGATCATAGATACCTTTGTTCAGTTTTTTTGTGTTGGAAGGAGCAACGTGGGGTCGACAAAGTAGGTTAGGTAAGTAGGAGAGGTCAATTGTTAAGATTGTAAAGTTTCACTACTTGATGCAACTAGAACAAGTACCGTGCGTGCTGAGCCACTACATCCCTTCGGCGAGTGTCTTCGCCGAAGTGAAATTAATTTGGATACATGTAACAAGGGTGACTCAGTACAACTGTCAACAACCTGGAATATAATTCTGAATGCACAAAAATGAATGAACAAAAAATGAACTATATATATGAGTACAAATCATAAATGTGTGAACAAAACAATTCCAACAGTGGTGTGAACATGGGCAGTAATTTTGCTCGAAATATTACCAATAACAAAACTTATCATTGTGTGTAACATTGAAATATAATTATACTTTATTTAATTTGGAAGATTTAGAGATAGTCAAACATAACATCAAACTATGAATCACTGACTGTTTTTTGGTTTGAGTTACAAAGGGATGTTAAGAACTCTGAAGGTTAGAAACTGTTAGTCACATAACCTAAAACTATTTACGGCGATACAACTCTGTCTACTCATTGTTGCCATTCAGATTCTGAAAATGAGTAATCTTCATTGAATTATTCTGTCTTCTTTACATCTTTGTCCACTTTAATTTAATTACATTTATTTTCTATAATTTTATGTGTACTTTTCCGAAGTATGGAAACCTGGGCTGTAAAATTGTTAATTCAGCCACTCACTTGTGTTTACTATAGTGTCACGGCATAACTCTAAAGGTAAACTGTCACATCTGACCACTTCTACATGTATCTGTCAATTCATTTGCTTCTGTGGAGTAAGGTATATATGTGTTTTATCTAGGAGTCAAGCAACATTATACCGCTTGGCTACAGAAAGGTCACAATAGTTGAATAAGGAGTGTTATAAGTGAACACATATTCAACACTGGCTACTCAATATGATAGAAACATTCATTCGAAGTTATCTACGAAGTCAAAAGAAAACTCCCGAAAACGGTTTACTTTTGTATACTTTGCAATGCTGAGGCATTAGCGATTTGGATGGGAGACCCTGGTTTATGTACACAGAAAAAACTCCATCCCCTCCTTCTACCTTGAATATAACTTCAACTGTTATTACTATTTTGTGCCTGTTTTCATATGATATTTATTATCATCATTTTCTTAACATTTTTTCCACTCTCTTCATCTACTCAATAATTTATTTTAATACTTTTTCCCATGCTCTTTCATTAAAATCCAGTTTTTTTTCTCAATATTTCGCATATTATACAGTCTTAGTCTAAACTTACTAATCTTCACTCATTAGTTACAGTTTGACCATTCATCACTGTTTTAAAATCTTTCTTTCACACTGAATGTTGGATTTGCAGGCGATTTGATTAATTTCAAGGTATAGGTAGATTTCGTTATGAAGTGAGATCATTTAGGGAATCACTGCGAACCTGACAAACCTTTGGTCTTAAGTCTTTACTTCTCACTGTGCCTTTTTATGCATGAAAATTGTTGCGTATATGACTATCTATAGAAAAAAAAACATAGGGTTAAATTTTCCAAAGTAAATCAAAATGTTGGATTATGTTGATATGTTATCGAAAATTAGTTCTTGGAATAAATTAGTCTCCTAGACACTTTTGTATTGACTTACTTAGTAGTCGGCGGGAGGGGGGGGGCGACATGTTTACTGCATAGTTTTTAACTGTATTACCTAATTTTTGTATTGACTTGTAGTATCAAGACTTTTAGACTTTTGGGTTACCTAATATGTTATATACCAGACTATTTCGTGTGTGTGTGTGTGTGTCAGTGTAGTGTATACATGTTAATTTGTTTCATTCCTTAGTTAAAGGTCAAATTATCAACACATATATGTATATATATTGTCTAGTGAATGAACTTAGTAATAGCTTTTTGTAAAAGCTTTCTTTGGTGATGATGATTCATAAACATATTGTTCTAACAATTACTTTATTTTACTATCCTTATCTATTTATGCATTTTATTTATCTCTGTTATTAACATTTTAGTTACATGCACTATGAGTCAGGCAGAATGGTTGGAGTTGGAAAGCGATCCTGGATTGTTTACTTTACTTTTAGAAGATTTTGGAGTTCAAGGTGTTCAGGTTGAAGAGATTTATGATTTATCAAAACCAATCACTGAAATTGTTTATGGTTTCATATTTTTATTTCATTGGAATAAAGCTAAGAAAAAGGTAAGTGACGCATATTATGTATATATTTGTTGTTATTGTTTCTTATTAATTGTTTGACTAAATAAGGAAGCAGTCACTCACTCATTTACATAATTCTAATTACTTTGGTGTATGATACAAATAGTAGAATAGAGAAATATTACTCAACAGCCAGTTACACTTCCGTGCAGTAGTCGGCAACAAGCCATACCTATTGCGTTAAGGTTAATCATACTGCCTGGCTGTCCAAACCTCGATAGGCGGAGTGGGGTTCGAACCCGTGACCCAGTGGTTGGAGGTCCAGCGCCCGAACCAATGATTCGCGGCCTCACTAGATTCAAGTAGAGGGAAAGTGTTCTCTGATGAGGACTCCTGGATTTAAAAGAAACAGCTACCTAGTATCAAGTGTTGGTTTGTAGGGATTGTACAGTGCAATGTCGAGAAAATACATTGCACTGATCTAGGCACTCTACTCGAACTCATGCAGCTAGGTGAGGGCTTACGGCGAGTTGTCATCCGAAGTGGTGACGACTAGTGGTGTCCGTCAGGGATGCCCATTATCCCCGTTTCTATTCAATTTCATCACAGATGTACTAATGGACTTAACCTAAACTCACTTCAGAGACTCAGGGATCGACTTGCTACCAGGGAATAATCTCGTTGACTTAGATGATATAGTCCTTCTAGGCGAGGACGCTGACAAAATGCAGAGTCTTCTAAACACCTTGAGCTGCAATCTACGAATGTTTGGCATGCGATTCGCTCCCGCCAAATGTAAGATGATGTTACAGGACTGGACTACTGGACTGACTCCTAGTTTAGAAATAGGGAGTGAAGTGGTAGAGCACGTTGACCACTTCACTTACTTGGGAAGTACCATCAGCCCCAACGGGTTGATCTCTGACGAAATCTCAGCACGGATACAGAGGGCTAGTTTCGCATATTCCAGTTTACGCCATCTCTGGCGTAGACGTGATATTCGCCTAACGACCAAAGGGCGGGTGTACTGCTCATCAGTGCCTTCCGTCATCCTTTATGACTGTGAGACCTGGCCGTTGAGAGTGGAAGACATGAAAAGATTAGCTGTCTTTGAACGTAGGTGCCTGCGTTCTATCTCGCGTGTGAAGTGGTATAATAAGGTGAGCAATATTGAGGTTAGGGGTCGAGTGCTAGGTAAGGAGGGGAAATCAATAGACGAGGCTGTGAAATTTCATCGACTGAGATGGTTAGGACATGTGTTACGCATGCTAGCCTAGTCATCGCCTTCCTTGACGGGCAATGTTAATTGGCTGACATAGGGCCAGGCTGGAAAAGAGCTAGCGGCGGTCAAACGAAAACATGGCAACAGTCAATGAAATCCACAACAGTTAGTCTAAGCCACGTAGGAAGGTGTAAACTTCCTGATTGGAGTCCTCGGGACGGTAAGAACCAATGATTGGAAACAATTGTTGACATGGCTCAAAATCGTTCTCAATGGCCAGTGCAGATGCATCCACTCCTTGTGACTTATGATTTCAAATGAAACTATATTGTTCTTCATTACTACTACTCCTTTGTCTCACATCTCAACTTACTGTCTATATTATGCATTTCTTTTACTTTCTTCTCTTGGTTTGTGTGCTACATGGAGTGTGGCGACTTGAACTGCCGCACATCTGTGCAAAGTTCTATGTCGAAAACAGACAGACAGAGAGGGATTTGATTAGTTACAGAATTGATAATGAGCTGACACCAGTTAGAGAAGAGCCTCTCAGTGGGACGAAACAGCTGTTCACTACTCTCTGGTTTTTCGGTGGTTCTCAAACTTGATATCAGCTCGTGATTAATCTTGTAACCAATCAAATCCCTCCAGACCAACACTTGACAATAAATATGATGCTCACTAGTGACTGGCTGTATACAGGAAGTTACCTGGAGTTCTGGTGAGAAGTCGTAGCTAGTGGGGTCTATCAAGTCAGGCAAGTGAACGGTTGCGCTAAATATCTATCGTAAATTGGCAGAATTTAAAATTCATAGACTACTGGATCGAGTTCCATTGGCTAAATAGTCTACTACCTCTCCTTGTGACTGGAAGGTCTAGGGGTTCGGGCCCCGGTGGGTGCGTGCTGATGAAGAGTCCCAAACTAGGAAGAAACAGCTGTTTGGTACTCCCTGGTTTTCGAATGGTTCTCTAATTGATGTTACCTCGTGACCAATCCTGTAACTGTTCTCTACTTCCAAGATTCATCCAGATTTTCGTTGACATCATTTGTTTGATAAAAAATACGATCGATCTTTTTCGAGAATATTACTATCTCAAAATTAGTTCAATAGCTGCAGTGATTAGCGTGTGTGTGTGTGTGTGTGTTTACAGACTTTCAAGTGTTATTCATTGCAGAATAGCGAGAGAAATGTGGAAACTATTTTTTTGTCATTAGTTTTTAGTTCTTCTCCATTTATTGTAATCCTCTAGCTTAGATGTGTTTGATTTGACGACAACAATTATAGTTAGTAATTTTTAGACCATTTTTTGACATCCCATTTAATTGACATTATAGATAGTATGAATCATTGAGATAAAAAATTATGTATTTCATAGATTAAGTTTATTTTGATGAGTGTATTGTATTTTTTAAGCCTTTATGATGTTTTATACATAGTACTACATACTTTAGCTAACACATAAAATTTACAAAATGTGTGATTTCCCACCCAATCCTACCTCTACGTATATATTTATGATTTCCAAATTTTATGGTATCTTATACTTTAACTGATAGACTAGTTTACCCACAATGTAGCAATATGTAGATTGTGGGAAGTGTTAATAAATCTGTTGGAATTTTGAAACCTTAAAAGACTACTACTTCCGTGAGAATACATATAGTTTGAATTCAGTTCCCAGGACAAGTTTTCCATGAGCTACACTTAATTGTGTGATGGCTGATGTTACTACTACTACTACCCAGTTGACCATGCTGAAGTAGGTGGGGCGGGATTCGAACCCAAGACTTTCTGGTTGAAGGCCGAGTGCTTCAGCCAATGAATCACCTCTCCACTAATATAACATGTGATTAATTGTTATATTGCTCGGTATAAATATTTCAAGATCAAATAAATATTATATGAATGGAAAGAAAACGAAATGATAATGATTGCAATAATAGGATCATTTTTTTATTACATCACAAACTTGCTAAATTACGGGCACTAGGAGATGTTTCACACAAAATTTCCTAGTTTTTGCTAGGGTTGGGATACTACCTAGATCGAAGGAGGTGGTTGTCTTAAGGGGTCATCCTCTAGTCTTTGACTTGAAGTCTGGTCCACGAGGCGTTGTAGCTGCGTTCCCACCGTCTTCGGTGGCTAAAATAGGTTAATGCGTTACTCGATCCTTTCGAATTCTGGAGCCAATGTCTGACTGACTGATTGGTTTCAACGTAGAACTTTGCATAGATGTGCAACAGTCCGAGTTGTCACTCTGCCTCCATGTGGCACACAAAACAAAAGAAGAGAGATAATAAGCAGAGATATTAGGCAACAAGAATAGTAATATGGAAGAACAATGGAATTTTATTGGATATGATTAATCACAAGGAGGGAATGCATCTGCGCCAGCCATCAGTGAGAACGATTTTGAGCCATATCACCAATTGTCTCCAGCCTTCATTGGTTTTTACCATCCCGAGGACGCCAACCAGTCAGGAAGTCTACACCTCCCTACGCGGCTGGCTGGCTTAAACTAACTGTTATGAATTTCATTGACTGATGAAGAAATGTTTTGGTTTGACCACTACTAGCTCTTTCTTTATCAACTTGATCCATCCTATGTCAGTCAGCTAGCATTGCCCGTCAGTCGAGGAAGGCGATGGCTAGGCGAGAATAAGCATGAGTAACACATGTCCTAACCATCCGTCTCAGTCGGTATAACTTCACAACTTCGTCGATTGACTTTCCCTCCTTACGTAGCACTGGACCGATGCCTTACCTCAATATTGCTCACCTTATTAAACCAGCACCTAACACTGGAGATAGAACTCAGACACCTATGATCAGATATAGCTAACCGGCCTTTTCGTATCTTTCACTTTCAATGGCCAGGTCTCACAGCCATAAAGGAGGACAAAGCGAACTGCTCTGGAGCCAATGTACACCATAGATTTGAAGTCAGGGTTTTCCAGCTCCCCTAAGTAGACCAGTATGTCTACCATTCAGTCGGGTTTTAAGTACCAGACGCTCTCATTTGCCCTTTCACTTTTGTGAGGAACACCTGCCTTGTGAAGGCAGTAGCTAGGATTCACCTGGCAGACAGGCACTATGAACGTGTGGGATATAAGCATTCGAGAGGAAGACAGAAGTCTGCCCATCCTCAGCCGTACTAGGCTGTTTATGGGGACGGTAATAAGATGAAGTGAATTTGAAGTGTTATTCTATAATCGGTGATAGTTATCGTGATAGCATGTGGCGGTTTGAGTCATACGTGAGGTAAAACAATAGAGAACATTTGCGATATGCTATAAAATTAGAATATTCACCAACCATGAAGTGATTGATGAGTGAGAATGCATCTTCATTGCCCGACATATAGCTGCTACCTTGGTATGGTGATTGGACTTTCATATTGCCATGACCCAACGATCTACACTGATTGGAACTAATATTCCTAAAAGTCTTACCGTATCAAAAGATCGTTTGGATAGAGGTTCGGCTAAAAACAGTTGCTGTTATAGTGTAACTCGCTCACATTATGTTGGGGATCTGAGGGCGATGTTGTACTGCTGGTGAATAGGGATGTAATAGCAGTAAGGCGTTTCCTTCAGATGACCAGCAAGCCAGTTAAGCTGCCCCTCTGCACTGGGTGGGGATAGAAAATATTGATCCCAAGAATGGCACATCCTAACTTGTGGTGGTCCGTAACCGACGGTAAAATCTTAATGCAGACAGAAGTCTGAAAACCACTTCAAAGAGGTTTGTATGACCTACCTCAAGCACTTTTCCCCTGGACTGTGCAGTCACGCAGCACTAATGCTCCTTCTGTTTCAGTTATTTCAAGCAGAAATCGATTTCCACGGTGTGGGTACATGGGATGTAATGGTCGTCCACGCACTTCCTGATCATTCTGATCAGCATCTGTATTGTTAACACTTCTCTGACTTCATTGTACGCAAGATTCCTGAAGTTTAATAGATCCTGGCCAGGAGACCTTCAGTTTTATACATGATTCAATTTTTAATAACTACCTACTTGATGATTGATCGCATTGTGATAATTTTGAGTTTTTCCACACTTAACTTTCTTTTGCTGGGCTTTGCTTGGATAGGCTTTCAAAATGCATGATTTAATCGCTTCATCCAACTCAATTTTGATAATCGAAGCAACTGGTTGGCTTCCTTTGTCTTTATCCGACTTCAATGTTGATAGTTGAAGTATTGACATTCTCAAGTGTTATTGTTTAAAATAAATGAAGTGAATTTTTGTGACCGCTTCTCCACCCTAATTTTATAAACCACATTTGTTATGTGTAGCTAGTTGTTGTTTATCGAGCTTGCATTCCTTCTGTGTATAATTTAGCCGATTCTAGTATGATCACGGATTGATATCAGTTAGAGAGCCATTGAAAACCATGGAGTACTGGATACCTGTTTCGTCCTACTATGGGACTCTTCGCAGGACGAGACAACTATCCGGTTTTCAATGATTCTTTGACTGATATCAATCCACTATGCAACTTAAAACCAATCAAATCGCTACAATCTAACACTTAGCGAATTTCGTTAGATTGTCACATAAATGTATCGAGATGAAATTGATTGTCAGTACATTGAGTGACTGCTGTAACAACAGAAGACAAGGGTCAGGCGACAGATCGTTTATTAAGGAAATCAACACATTTATAGCTTTTCATGTACATTATAGTAGATTATTGTTAGCGGAAAAACAGAGTCTTCTGATTGGAGGTTTCTCGTTGAACGTTAATCTTTCATCTCTTTGTGGCCGTTTATTGAAGTTCAGATTATCTATCTGCAAATTGTATCCGTCTACGCAAAGTCTGCTGTGGCTGGTTGTTGAATCAGTCTTTGTTCATTTTTTTCACGACCAATATTGGGGACGTAAACATTGACATAAATTACTGTCTACCAATTTGGCTAGCAGCCAGCTCTCACCACACTGCTACTATTGAGGGTTGGTTCATCTCACTAGTTTTTACTCTACTCATTGTCATCTTGTACAAATTCTGGAATTCATCTTCCCAACAGTTTTAGCATTTCATGTAGGGCACTTAACAAACAAACGCTAGTGTTTGTGTGTCTATTCATCACATTAAATTCTATTACGCCTCTCTACTTTGACACAGCATAAAATACTCACCGGTTCAATTGAATTTTTTTCAATAATCACGTATGTTGTCTTTTCTGATTATTATGAGTGAGACATTTTACTTGTAGTTTGTAAAGTAAGGTGGATAGGTCACATAGTCATTTGTAAACTGGAACTATTTTGAACCTGTTTTAATTAGTGAGAATTCTTAAACACAATTAATTGTAGGCAGATGACAGTTATCGACTGACATCAGTATGTGTTTAAAAATAAAAGCAAAATTTCATTTGGTGTATATTACGCGTAATAAACAGCATAGAATTTTTATTATGAGTTATTTTCTGAATTAACCTTTTGAAAAATACATCTAATGTTTTAAAACACAGCCTTGTCGGCGTTCTGGTCGAGGTTCAACTGGATCCGTAACGAATACAGTCTCCCCAAATTCTCATACATCTGTTCCTGCTTGTGATAATGCTCGATCGAATTCAGTTACTCCAAAAAATGGAAATAATAATAATAGTAATAGTAGTAGTAATAATTCTCGTCATCGATCAGCATCTGGATCAGGTCAAGAAATCCATAGTACGCCTGAAGCTGCTAAATTTATTGATGGAATATCAGAATGCAAGTCAACTGTATCTCAAGCTCCAGACAAAACAGAAATCTTTTTCGCCCATCAAGTTGTACAAAATTCTTGTGCTACACATGCTTTATTAAGTATCCTGTTAAACAGACCTGAGATAAATATAGGACATATGTTGGCAGAATTTCATAAAGCTACGCGTCATCTATCACCAGAAGCTAAAGGTCTAGCTATTGGCAGTATGCCACAACTTGCTCAAGCACACAATCGACATGCTGCAAAACCTCCAACAGTTTATAAAGATGAAGTTTCATCATCATGTGAAATAACACTGCCTGAGCCAAGTGAAGCTGCAGCAACAGCCGCAGCAATTGCTAAGGCTAGTGTAGGAACAGTAAATTCTATCAATTCTTCAGATTCAAGTCCTAGTTTAACTGCTGCTACTACTCTACTACTACTACTACAACTTCTAACATGACGGTGCCGGATACATTTCATTTTGTGTGTTACATTCCTATCGGTGGATTTTTATATGAATTAGATGGTCTCACTTCTGAACCAATTAATCATGGTCCATTAAAAAATCCCAATGATCAGTATGCTTGGACTGAACAGTGTGCTGAAGTTTTAAAGGAGCGTATGCAAGAAGTGAGTCTAAGCGTAATTACCAGTTATGTTTTTCATCGTGTGTACTTAATAAACAATAAATGTAGTATGAATAAGTAATATAAATAAACAGTCCAATTGTGTAAGTATTACATTTAGTAGTAGACTATGATTTACGTTTTGCTTTGTAAGGAACTATGCTAATGATATGTGATTTTCTCAAATGATCACGATCCCTGGTTTTCAATGGTTCTTTAATTGAAGTTTTTTCATGAGCAAACTTGAAAATCAATACTTGAAAATTAATCTAGTTGTCACTAGTGACTGACTAGAAGATGAAATTGCCTGAAGTCTTTGTGGGAAGTTGTGACCAAACGGGGTCCACCAAGCTTGCGTGTGAAGAAAGATACTCGCTGGTGATTTTGGCTGATGGTTGCTTACTGTATATCACGAATTGGTAGAAGTTAGAACTGATGGGCCGTTGGATTCCATTTCAATGGCTGATTGGTCAACTAGCTTACCTTGTAACCTGAAGTTACTGGGTTCCATCCCGTTGGGTAGGGTCATGGGTGCGTACTGGTGAAGAGTCCCAGACTAGGTCGAAACAGCTGTCTAAATCCTGATAATTTCGGCTTTACTTACATTTCAGTGTAGATTTCGCCACGAACCGAAGTCATTTGTCCTAGTTCGGGACTCTCCAACAGTGTACACCCACCACTATCACCCCACCAGAGGTCGAATCCGAGACCTTCAGGTTACGAGATCAAGCGTGTTGACCATTCAGCCACGTGGGCGGGAATTCATTAATTTGTGAATTTTAACTTGTGAATTCGTCACATAGAGCTACCCTCAACCAATGCCTTCGATTACTCTCCATTTCACTTGACATGGTAGATCCCACTGATCACGACTTCTCACTGCAAATTCAGGAGAATGCATTCAGTAGCCATCAATGAGCTGGAGATTAGTAATTTAGATTGCAGGTTTTTGTAAGGATATGTTTATTCGTACACTGTGTTTATCTTGTCTGCTTTAAATCATCACTCGCATTATTGAAGCTGATAAAATCTCATGTATTGGTATGGTAAACACACCATTCAAGTGTTGGTGTGATTCTTACTTCGTAATCATTGCTTACTACCTTAAATCAAATTCCTAATTTGCAAATTGGTTAGCAATTTACAATCTACACGCAGTTCGAGTAGCTATCCAGAAATCCTGTGATTTGAACAGATTTGCCTCTCTGTAATAAGTCGAACCGGGTACACCGCTGGTGAGCTAGGCCCCAAACGAGCGAAACGACCGTCCGGTGCTTAGATTACCTCAATCTGGCTAGCAAGCACTACTGGTTGATGTGACTGGCATGCAATTACTCACCTCAATCAATCATTGGTATATAGTTTTATGCAAATATGCTTGCTTACTACCTTTCTGAATTATGCAAAAGTCACATACTACTAATATATATATTTTTTTCTCTTCATGTTTTGCATAATAAACATAATAATAAATAGACTGTTTCATCTGTCTGATTATGCGTTAAATTTATGATTGATTTTTCTGTATATATATATGTTACATTTTAATGACACAGTGAGGCATATATACCACCATCTGGTGTTTAATCTTTCTGTTTTTGTAGTAAAAGACGATATCTAGAATATTATTAACATGAAACGTAGTCTTACTGCCTAGTAGGCCAGATGATGTTTCTATGCTTCTTATCTGAACATTGGGCAGAGGACAATGAAGAATAAAACGAAGAAATCGAAATAATATGATTGAAGATCATGGAATAGGGGAAAATTAGAATAAAGTTAAAGTGTGGATTCATCTACATGACTGTAAGCAGTTTTGAGTCATATGTATCCAAGTCAAGCAATATTCATCTTCATGTCCGGCGTAGATGTACAGTTGGTGATTTGATGGAATGTTATTAAATTTTGGTTTGAGAGTTGGTTAATTTAAATCTTGTCCCACTTCTTCTAACGATGCTTCAAATTAGGCAGTATATAATCCTGCGTAACAGACGATTCAGTTATCTAAGAGACTGGAAGTTTATAACTTCATCAGCTGGTTGATTTATCTATCCTGTCTTCCACATTTTTTATGCGGTTATTGCTTTACTTACTTAAGTGTCGCCAAATGAGTATGTTTTGCAACCATAGTAGAACTTTACACTTGTTGTGTGATGGACGATCAGATATCTTGCTTGCTCGACAATTTTCGGCAGTGAGATAAAGGCTAGAAACATCTGTCTGCATCAAGATATTTCACCAGTCACCAACACACCATCATCGGTGATGCAATTTTTTCAGAATTTGATCAATGCCGGCCGACAACTGTTACCTTGCCGTGGTGGGCGGGCTTGAATACCGCAGTGACCCAACAAGCTAAACTGGCTGGGACTCATGTCCCTACGGGTCCTACCATGTCAGGAAGGTTGTTTGGATAGCGGTTAGACTAAAAGCAGTTTCCATGAGGTACATGGGCTCCAGAATCCAATCGGATCAAATGGCGTATGAACCCATATGGATCACCGGCAACCATGGGAACGCAGCTTCTGACGCTGCTCCACTGCCTTGCGGATTAGACTCCAAGTCAAAGGCTCGCGGGGTGGGCGCTTAAGAAAACTACCTGCTTCGGTCTGGGCGCCCGGGCAGTATCCCAGCCCTCACACAATGTGTGGCGCATCTTTCTTGGTGCCATGTTGTACCAAGTTTTTTCTGCGTTTAAATAAATAATACTGCATGTACATGGTCCGGGGTTCGATCCCCCGCCGACGCACACCTGATATCTATGGTCAGCCTGCAAATTTGGGCTACCGATATCACATGCTGAAAAATTCCATACCTGTACCAAAAAATACGGTGTGGAATCAAGCTGTAATCAAAAATATAAAAAAAATCAGTACACTCAGAAGAAAAGTATGAATGTAGACTAGTCCTAAACATTCTGAAGTTGTCACTTGCATAGTTTGTGGGAATCTCTGTATCTTATGGTTGTCCTGACTATTTAGTTTTGGTTTTAGTGTCTACTGTCTAGCGTGTCTGTAAATATGCAAACCGTTTTAGTTTGTCAGTAAAGTTATAAGGTTTCTTGACGTATATATATATATATATATATATATATATATATATATATATATTTACACATTGTAAGTTTATTTATAAGGTCACTGAAATCTATATTCAGTGTAAACAGTGTTTTTGTCAATTCATGGAATGTAGCATATAGAATGAATAATAATAATAATAATAATAAAATTAATTAATTAGTTATAAAGATGTGAACATGAAATTTTTGGATGATTTAAAAGCTAACTTGATTAGGGGGTAGTTTGAGGAATCCATCATAAAATTATTAAATGCTGAGTTGAAGAGTTATAACCATGTCTTTATTACTTCTTCTAGATGATGATGAAATGGGTGTGTAGCTCACATTTATGATGTACTTAAACCTATTTGTGTTTAATGAATTCTTTTTTTTTAAAAAAAACATTGTATGTTGCTGAATTTTTAGATTTTATTTCTGGTAATAAACTCCAGAAAATATGATGAGGCAACTGATCTTAAATAGAGAATTACTTAATAATAATAATTCTTTTTAATGATTATTCTTAAGAAAAGAACTTTTTTTAAACCATGATTTGGGGGTGTTTGAAGTTTATTTTATTTCTATTTAAAACACAAAACCTGGTACAATATGGCATCAAGAAGATGCACCATATAATAATAATAAAACAACATATAAGAAAAAATAAGGTAAAGAATGAATAAAGGATTGTATCTGGAAAGGAAGCAGTTATATTTAACAAGACCAAACAGTATTCGTCGAATTGTTGTCGGAAAAGGAAGAAAGAGGAAAACTGCAGCACGTTCGACATTGATGATTGCGATTCTTGGCCATATCCGATAACGTTTCGAGCCATCGATTCGGGTCATCTCTCAGAGTCCAACCAGGGAGTCGTGATGCACCAACCGATGCTAACCTACCATAAATATCCTTCATCCCCACGACGCCATGTCATGGACTGACCACCTCTCCGCCTTTTCCATCCCGTCCCAGGGCTGGTTAGCGAACAGAGACCTGTACGGAAGCCTCTGGGATGACATTCGTAGCACATGTTCAAGTCACCGAAGCCGGTGTTTCCAGATGACAACACTCAATGAATGGTGGTCTCCACTGTGTTCAAACACACGCCGCCGGATCTCAGAATTACTCACGCAAACAGTGATGATCGAACACACAGAGTCATCGCACATCTTCAGATCCAAAGCCTCAGGATGGTCGGGGGTGGGTGCCTTGCTCTGCGGGTTGGCCACCCCTCCGCACACCTCTTGAAATGCTCCCATATGACCGGGGTTACATAACCTCTCCTGAGGAAGTCCTACTCACTGCCTTCACGTGGCGGAGGTGTTTTCACCAAAGTGAGAGGGCGAAAGCGGATGCCCGGCGCTCTTCACCGGGTTGACTGTCCATTGGATGACAGTCTAGGGGAGATGGCTAAACCCTGATTCCAAACCTCCAACGACTGGCGTATGAAGCTCACTGGAGCTCACCGGCAGACGTATGGACAAAGGGCTTGTTGGATGTCCTGGATGTCTGGCCCCATTCAAAAAGGCGTATGAACCGAACTCCGGTCACCGGCTGCCAATGGATGGTGGACTCCCTACTCCACTCCTACTGCCTTGTAGGTCACACTTGGTTGTGTAAAGGCTAGAGCTGCACTCTCAAACAAAAGGCCGAGCGATTCTGGGGACATCACTCGTACCAAATTCCCATGAAACTTCATGAACTCTCTTACAATCTTGGCGATGTCGCAGGGGTGGACAGCTGAAAACATGGCTTGGTACAGTCAAGGCTGATATGGAGTGCCTGGGGCTACAAACCGTCTACGGACTCCGTCTGTGGAACAAGAATTGGATAACCCTGTCGCAAAACCTTGCATCAGATCGCCGCGCCTGGGCAGCGATGATTCGAGATGTTCATGAAGCCGGCTCATCCTCCCGTAGGAGATAGCCGAAGTAAAGTAAGTAAGT